TTTAAAAAAGAAATGGATGATGCTAGAATAATGTCGCTTCCTTTGATGAATGCTGAGCATCTTTCTCTCTCAGGTTATTTCTTCAGCTTGTTAGAGCAGTGAGGAATGGTTATCTTATAACCAAATTACAGTGAGGACACCAGCCACACAATGCACATGCTGCAGTGCGAGTATGTGTGTGTACCTGCATACATGTGGGCATAGCCTAGATGTTAATGACTGGTATCTTCTATCTGAGCTTTAAAAAAAGACATTGTTGTTGTTGTTGTTGTTGTTGTTATGGTTTTTCTAGACAGGGTTTCTCTGTGTAACAGACCCGCTGTCCTGGAACTCACACAGATCCACCTGCTTCTGCCTCCCAAGCACTAGGACTAAAGGCAAGGTACCACCACACCTGGTTATTTATTATTTTTATTTTATGTGTTTATTTTGCCTGCATATGTGTCTCTACACTGTGTGCATGCAGTGCCCCAGGAGGACACAAGAGGGAGTCGGGATCCTCTGGAACTGGAGTGAGGGAAGGCTCTGTGAGCCATCCTGTGGTTGCTGGGAACCAAATCTTGGTTTCTGCAACAGTAACAAGCACTCTCAACCACGGAGCCTTCTCTCCAGCCTGCACCTGTCTCGCGGAGATGAGATCTTTCCATGAACCCAGGGCTCACTGATTACTTCAGTGAACGCTGGCTGTCATCTTTCTGTCTCCATCCCCCAGGATCAGGAAGGAGCGCAGAGCTTCAGAACCAGGTGTAGTGTGAATCCTAATTGGTCTTAATAATAAAAACCCAGAGTCAGATATCAGGATAAATGCTGAAAAATCAGAGAAGTAAAGGAGCCAGCCACGAGGGAGACTTTTTACTTCTTTTTTTTTTTTAAAAACAAAACAAAATAAAAACAAAACTTTATTTTATATGCATTGGTGTGAAGGTGTCAGATTCCCTGGAACTGAAATTACAGACAGGTGTGAGCTGCCATGTAGGTGCTGGGAATTGAACCCAGGTCCATCTGGAAGAGCAGTCAGTGCTTTTAACCACTGAGCCATCTCTCCAGCCCCAATTTTTTTACTTCTACTGAATCCTCAGGCCAAAGTGGGGCATGGTCCTGTCTCCACAGATGCTCAGACTGAACACCTTAAGCTCCTGTCTCCTCTTGCCTTATATTCCTCTCTCTGCCCAGCCATATCCCCTCCTGGCTCCACATCCCTAGTGCTGGGAGTAAAGGTGTGTGACTCTCAAGTAAAGGTGTGAGCCACCTTATGTGGGATATTCTTCTATATGCTGTAAATATGTCTCATTACCATTGATTGATAAAAAAGCTGATTTGGCCAATAGCCAGACAAAATATAACTATGCAAGAAATCCAAACATACAGGGAGAAAGAAGGCATAGTAGGGGAGACACAAGCAGCTGCCGCTAGAGAAGCAAGATATGAGGTAACAAGTCACGAGCCTTTTGGTAAAGTATAAACTAATAGAAATGAGTTAATCTAAGTTGTAAGAACTAGTTAATAATAAGCCTGAGCAAATAGGCCTAACAGTGTGTAATTAATATTAAACATCTGAGTGGTTATTTTAGAAGCGACTGTGGGACCAGGTGAGATGAGAAACCTCCAGTTACAAAACAGGATGGTGATTTAAAAGTTCATTCCACCTGTAATTCAGGGTTTTCCAACTTCAAGGTCTTATCATATGGCATATTTCTGAGTCTTTTCTTGAAATATTCTGTACTTAACTGTCTGTTTTATAGACCCATACTGGGTTTGGATCACAAAGCAGCGAAAAACAAGATTAAAGAACTTTAGAAATAGTTAGAGTGAGGATGGAGAGATGACTCAGCAGTTCAGAGCACTTACTTCTCTTCCAGAATCCAAGTTCAGGTTCCAGCACCCAGAGTGGGCAGCCAACAGCTGCCTGTAAATCTAGCCTCAGGAGATCTGATCACCTTTTCTGGTTTCTGTGGTCACAGACACGGCATACGCATGACACACACACATACATATATATATATATAAATTTTAAAAAGTTAAACAGAAAAACACTGTGATTTTATAGTGTCAAGACAAATGCTGCTGTAACTCTGAATATCTGAATATTACTTTTGTTTTTTGTTATTTGAGAAAGGGTTCCTCTGCTGCAGCCCTCGCTGTATGGGAACTTCATCTGTAGACCAGGCTGGCCTCAAACTCAGAGATCCACCTGTCTCTGCCTCCTGGGTGCTGAGATTAAAGGCATGTGCTACCACTACCTATTCTTGTTATAATTGCAACCTAGGTGATTTGAAGAGGTAGCCTGTAGGGAAATGAATTGTCAAAAAGACTACCGAAATAACCACACAGAAACTGTACTAATTAAATCACTGGTTGGCCCATTAGCTCTAGCTTCTTATTGGCTAACTCTTACATATTAATTTAACCCATTTCTATTAATCTGTGTATTTCCACGTGACTGTGGCTTACTGGCAAAGTTTTGGCATGTCTGTCTTCAGGGGTGCTACATGACATTCACTGACTCTACCTCCTTTCTCCCAGCATTCAGTTTAGTTTTTCCTACCTAACTCTTTCTACCCTATCACGGGATCATGACAGTTTCTTCATTAACCAATGCATTCACAGCATAGAGAGGGGAACCCTACATCACCACACCTCCCATTAGTGGCACTCCCTTTGGGGACTATCTTCTTTCAAACCACCACAAGGACCTTATAGTTGGGTTCAAAATATATTTACTTTCCACAAAAATTTGTAGTACTTGCTGGATCAAACACAAGGACTCACACATGTTAGACCAGTGATCTATTGTGTTACAGATGTAATCTGTCTAAACATGTAATAACTTTTTAATTGTCTTTGAATAAGTCATCATACACGTGTACATGTGTATGTCATATAATTTTGGGTTTTTGTTTGCTTGTTTGCTTTGTTTTTTTCTTTTTACATTAATTGGTCTGGAACTTACTACATACCCGAGGGCAACCTTGAACTCTTGATACTTCTGCCTCCACCTTCTGAGTGTTGGGATTATAGGCTTATACCACCACATTTAGCACTGATGTATTTTTTTGAAATTTATTTTTATTATTTTTAGTTATGTGTTTATGTCTGCATGAGGGAATGTGCACATGATTGCAGGTGCCCTCATAGGCCAGAGGCCTGGAAACCCCCAAAAACTGGAGTTAAAGACAGTTCTGCGCCCCCTAATGGGGATACCAGGAACCAAACTCAGTTTATTTACAAGAGCAAGAGTATACATGCTCTGAACTGCTGCCATCTCTCCAAACCTAGGTACTCATTTGAAAATCTTCTCAATGTAAAACTGTTCAAAATCGGAGCTGGAAAGATGCCCCGTTGCCGAGAGAGCTCACTGGTCTGTAGAGGACACAGGTCTATTCCCAGCCCCTCATTCCAGGGCTCACAACCCATTGGAACTCCAGTGATATGTGATCTAATGCTCTCTTCTGGCCTCTGCACACACGAGGCACATAGATACAAAAATATACACATAAATAAAAAGAAATCTTTAAAAACATCTTTCAAACTGGAGTTGTAATTTGGTTGTACAGTGTTTGCCTAGTACACTCTAGGATTTGTGTGAGCCTCAGCATTACACACTTACACACACTAGTATACTCTAGGATTTGTGTGAGCCTCAGCATTACACAT